CGAACGGGAGCCCACACACAGAGGGTCGTGTGGCTCCCATTAACCGATTGCAACAGTTAATTGCTTTCCTAGATGGCCATCGTTCGGCTACCGACCACACGGCGGTCGGCCATCTTGGATCCTTTGTTAGCCCAGCGGTGTTTGGTCGTCGAGCGCCTGGAACTAAAATCGGCTACTCGACGGCGCGAACACAGTTCCAGGTCATTCGGGAGCCCCGGTCTTTCGGTATTGGGATCCCAATAGGTATTCGGTACTTTTAGGAGAATGTGATATAAAAGTGTATTTCGTGCGGCGTTCGGTTATTTATGCTGGGATCTGAGCGGTACTTTCACGAAATGTGCGCTCAGACCCCAGCTATCTACTGAACGGTAATATAGGATGAATAATATGAAAGTTGTGTAATTTTGTGTAAAATGCCAGTTCTGCTGCACGGAGGGATAATCCACTTAACGGGATATTCTAGTGGGAGTATCCCTCTCGTGCAGCAGTGCAGGATGGGGGAAATGTCTGGATTGTTAAATTCCCCATGTATTTCCATACTGCACAACCCCTGTAATGTCAGTAGGGAAACCCCTTGCATGGGGAACTGCATAAATACTGTGACCTGTGATCAACGTTCAGTTGACTCCCAGAACTGTGTTTCGTCCGGTTACTGGGTGGATTTGGGATATTGCCTTCTTTTCCAGTGCTTTACTTTGGATTACCTTCTATACCAGCGGAGATCTTGGGATTTAATATTGCAGCTCCACTACATTGATTACATTATATTGGTAGTTATGTTACGGGTTACATTATATTGGCATATTATGAGTTACATTATACTGTTAGTCTATGTTATTGGTTATATTGGTATGTTATGGGTCACATTATATTGGTATTCCATGTTATTGGTTATATTGGTACATTATATTGGTAGTCTATGTTATTGGTTATATTCTATTGGTATGTTGTTATGTTGTATTTGGAGTATGCTGATTCTGAAAATGTAAGTTTTATGTGAATGTGATGTATACTTTTAAAGTTATGAATATTGTGTAAAACTGTGTATTTTCCTGCCTGTGATAATTACATTAGCCCATTGTGTTCAGTAATTATATCATAGGCAAAGAGGAGGATTTTGCTATTTTGTCCCAGTCTTCTAACAGGTCCCCTACGGGAGTGTCCACCTGGTGGAAGACCTGCATAAATACCGGGCAGGTAGCCCCATTAAACCCGATCATTGCTTGACCCTCAACACGGAGCCTCGTTCTTGGGGGGATTTATTGTATGCTGTGCCAGTTCGACTGCTAGGAGTGTAAACCTATTCGAATGTTTTTTCCTGTTCGGCTGTTTAAGGGAGTTTGGAGAATTCGTATGGTTTCCTGTTCGGCGGATTGGTGTCTTTGGTAGCTGCCTATATATCTGGAAGGGAATATCCTCTAAACAGCGTTTAACCTCTTTTATGCCTGGGGGTGCTGTTACAATTATATTTGTAGTCTATGTTATTGGTTATATTCTATTAGTATGTTATGGGTAACATTATATTGGTAGTCTATGCTATTGGTTATATTATATTGGTATGTTATGGGTTACATTATATTGGCAGTCCATGTTATTGGTTATATTCTATTGGTATGTTATGGGTTACATTATATTGGCAGTCCATGTTATTGGTTATATTCTATTGGAATGTTATGGGTTACATTATATTGGTAATCCATGTTATTGGTTATATTATATTGGTAGTCCATGTTATTGGTTATATTCTATTGGTATGTTATGGGTTACATTATATTGGTAGTCCATGTTATTGGTTATATTCTATTGGTATGTTATGGGTTACATTATATTGGTAGTCCATGTTATTGGTTATATTATATTGGCATGTTACGGGTTACATTATATTGGTAGTCTATGTTATTGGTTATATTATATTGGTAGTCCATGTTATTGGTTATATTCTATTGGAATGTTATGGGTTACATTATATTGGTAGTCCATGTTATTGGTTATATTCTATTGGAATGTTATGGGTTACATTATATTGGTAGTCCATGTTATTGGTTATATTATATTGGTAGTCCATGTTATTGGTTATATTCTATTGGTATGTTATGGGTTACATTATATTGGTAGTCCATGTTATTGGTTATATTCTATTGGTATGTTATGGGTTACATTATATTGGTAGTCCATGTTATTGGTTATATTATTTTGGTATGTTATGGGTTACATTATATTGGTAGTCCATGTTATTGGTTATATTATATTCAGGGGCGGACTGAGAGCCTTTGGGGCCCCCGGGCAAAATTAGATCCCAGGCCCTTTGAAGGCCAAATATATGTGCATTTTAATAAATGTTAAATATAATTCATAATACGGCATTCCTTTGGATGTGTGTATTGTGAAGACCCGTGTATCAATGCATGTTTGTATTTGAGTCTGTGTGAATGCACTTGTGCATGTCTGGATGACTACATGTGCTTTTTTGTATATAGTGTCTGTGTGAATGCATATGTGACAGAGTGTGTGAGGGAGAAGGTGACAGGTGGAAGAGTGTGGGAGGTTGTGACAGGTGGCAGAGTGAGGGGGTACCTGGTGGCAGAGTGAGGGAGGGGTTGAGTGGTGGCAGAGTGAGGGGGAGACACAGTGAGTGGGGGTGACTGGTGACAGAGTGAGGGAGTGGGTGACTAGTGACAGAGGGAAGGAGAGGGGGAGACTAGTGACAGAGGGAAGGAGAGGGGGAGACTAGTGACAGAGGGAGGGAATGGGAGACTAGTGACAGAGTGAGGGAATGGGTGACTAGTGGCAGAGTGAGGGGGGGAAGGGGTGACTAGTGACAGAGTGAGGGGATGACTGGTGACAGAGTGAGGGGGGGGTGACTGTCACTAGTCACCCCATCCCTCTCTCTGTCACTAGTTACTCCCTCCCTAACTCTGTCACTGTGTCACCCGCTCCCTCACTCTGTCACTAGTCACCCCCTTACTCTGTCACTGTGTTACCCCCTCCCTCTGTCACTAGTCACCCCCTCCCTCACTCTGTCACTAATCACCCCCTCTCTCCCTAGTCACCCCCTTCCTCACTCTGTCACTAGTCATCCCATCCTTCTCTCTGTCACTAGTCACCCCATCCCTCTCTCTGTCACTAGTCACTCCCTCCCTAACTCTGTCATTGTGAAGGAAGGAAGGGGTGACTGGTGACAGAGTGAGGGAAGGGAGTGGCAGAGTGAGGGAAGGAAGGGATGACTGGTGACAGAGTGAGAGAGGGGGTGACTAATGACAGAGTGAGAGAGGGTGTGACTAGTGACAGAGTGAGAGAGGGGGTGACTAGTGACAGAGTGAGAGAGGGGGTGACTAGTGACAGAGTGAGAGAGGGGGTGACTGTCACTAGTCACCCCATCCCTCTCTCTGTCACTAGTCACTCCCTCCCTAACTCTGTCACTGTGTCACCCCGTCCCTCACTCTGTCACTAGTCACCCCCTCTCTCACTATGTCACTAGTCACTAGTCACCCCCTCCCTCACTATGTCACTAAGGACAGAGGGGGTGATTAGTGACAGAGTGAGGGAGGGGTGACTAGTGACAGAGTGAGGGAGCAGGTGACACAGTTAGGAGGGAGTGACTAGTGACAGAGGGATGGGGTGACTAGTGACAGTCACCCCTTCCCTCACTCTGTCACTAGTCACCCCCTCTCTCACTCTGTCACTAAGGACAGAGGGGGTGATTAGTGACAGAGTGAGGGAGGGGTGACTAGTGACAGAGTGAGGGAGCAGGTGACACAGTGACACAGTTAGGAGGGAGTGACTAGTGACAGAGGGATGGGGTGACTAGTGACAGTCACCCCTTCCCTCACTCTGTCACTAGTCACTCACTCTGTCACCTGTCACTCCCTCACTCTGTCACTAGAGTGAGGGGGTGACTAGTGACAGAGTGAGGGAAGGGGTGACTAGTGGCAGAGTGAGGGAAGGGTTGACTAGTGGCAGAGTGAGGGAAGGAAGGGGTGATTAGTGACAGAGAGAGGGATGGGGTGACTAGTGACAGTCACCCCCTCCCTCACTTTGTCACTAGTCACCCCCTTCCCTCTCTCTGTCACTCCCTCACTCTGTCACTAGTGTGAGGGGGTTACTAGTGACAGAGTGAGGGAAGGGGTGACTAGTGGCAGAGTGAGGGAAGGAAGGGGTGACTAGTGACAGAGTGAGGGAGGACTGGTGACAGAGTGAGGGGGGGGTGACTGTCACTAGTCACCCCATCCCTCTCTCTGTCACTAGTTACTCCCTCCCTAACTCTGTCACTGTGTCACCCACTCCCTCACTCTGTCACTAGTCACCCCCTTACTCTGTCACTGTGTTACCCCCTCCCTCTGTCACTAGTCACCCCCTCCCTCACTCTGTCACTAATCACCCCCTCTCTCCCTAGTCACCCCCTTCCTCACTCTGTCACTAGTCATCCCATCCTTCTCTCTGTCACTAGTCACCCCATCCCTCTCTCTGTCACTAGTCACTCCCTCCCTAACTCTGTCATTGTGAAGGAAGGAAGGGGTGACTGGTGACAGAGTGAGGGAAGGGATGACTAGTGGCAGAGTGAGGGAAGGAAGGGATGACTGGTGACAGAGTGAGAGAGGGGGTGACTAATGACAGAGTGAGAGAGGGTGTGACTAGTGACAGAGTGAGAGAGGGGGTGACTAGTGAGAGAGGGGGTGACTGTCACTAGTCACCCCATCCCTCTCTCTGTCACTAGTCACTCCCTCCCTAACTCTGTCACTGTGTCACCCCGTCCCTCACTCTGTCACTAGTCACCCCCTCTCTCACTATGTCACTAGTCACCCCCTCTCTCACTGTCACTAGTCACCCCCTCCCTCACTGTCACTAAGGACAGAGGGGGTGATTAGTGAAAGAGTGAGGGAGGGGTGACTAGTGACAGAGTGAGGGAGCAGGTGACACAGTTAGGAGGGAGTGACTAGTGACAGAGGGATGGGGTGACTAGTGACAGTCACCCCTTCCCTCACTCTGTCACTAGTCACCCCCTCTCTCACTCTGTCACTAAGGACAGAGGGGGTGATTAGTGACAGAGTGAGGGAGGGGTGATGTGGCGAAACCAACCTCGCCACTGTGAACTGGAGAAGCCTGGTTGCTCGCCTGCTCCCTTTGGACTATGGCCCTGCAGGTTAAACTGTTTATTTTCCCTGCAGAAAGGCTTATTTGTGTGATCTGAGTGCCATTCATCTAATAATGTGCACTCAGATCCGAGCTATCTGGGGATATGTGAAATGTCTGTGTGTTATGTGTAAAATGTGACTTTATGTATTTTAAAGTGTTTTGTGTCTTTTTGCAACCATGTGCTTAATGGAGTCTTGTGTCTGTCCTGGGAGATAATTGAATTACTCTCCAGGATAGAAGACTCTGAAACTAGTTTGGGCCAGAAAGCCATGCTTCATTTAGTCACAAAGGACTTTCCCTTAACTTTTGAACCCCTGGTCTGATTCGTGCCATTTTTAATATGTTGTTCCCCTGAATGGATTGATTGTGAATATGTAATTTTATGTGAATGTGATGTATGGTTTTAGAGTTATGAAAGTTGGGTAGAAAGTATGTTTTAACTGTGTGTGTAATTGAGTTTCCTCTCAGGATAAGGGGAGGGAATATGTGGGATGTAACTGATATGTGATTGGTTGTTTTGTAACGCCCTGTGGGCTGTACTATGTTTGTGATTTGGGAATAAAAGAGACTGTATGTGACAGTACAGGGAGTTCCTGTTTTAACCCTCAAAGTGAAGTGTCGTCTCATTATTGGGGGAAGGATTTATTGTATGCTGTTCCAGTTTGACTGCTGGGAGAGTAAACCTATTCGTATGGTTCCTATTCAACTGTCTACAGCATTCAAATGCTTGAGAGGATTCATATGCTTCTCTGGTTCGGTGGTTGTGGTGTCTGCTGCAGTGCTTGGAGTCCTCAGGAAGCGCTAGGAGCATCCTTTAACGGAGGTACCCAGTCGGGGTGCCAGGCGATCCGTTACATTGGTGGCAAGTGGTGGGATGGCGTCCTAGTGCGAGCTAAAGCAGCTCAGAGACACCATTCGTGGAGTTACAAATTGAGGGCAACGCTAGCACACATGCAGCGCCCCTGGGGCAGAGGTATCCAGCGACTTGGAGCAGACAAGTATGGAAGGCTCTGGCGATGATTGGATGGCCGAGGTGAGGCAGCGAGTGGCCCAGTATGGGGATGATTTACCCATGGAGGTACGCCGGGTGATCTGGAACCAGGTCACGGCCGAGCGAAACACAAGGCTGACCCGAGAATTCCGGCTGGCGAAAGAAAGAGAGTATGCTCAGCGGAAGGAGTGTTACAGCAGCCGAGTAGAGGCTGCATCCGAGGAGGCTAGCCGTCTCCCACTGAGGCGGCCGCAGGAACCCGAAGTAGGGGTCCTCATAGACTGGTCCTGTGAGGAACCACAACAGGCAGGTGGAGATGGGACCGGCCCAGATCCCCAGCAGCAGCCGGAGGTGCCAGGTGCGGAAGCAGGTGGTCCTTACTCGCAAATGTTGAGGGACCTCACAGACTGGTCCTGGGAAGACCCACAGATGGCAGGTGGAGATGGGACGGTGGTCTCTCAACCGGCCCTACAGGGATGCTGGGCGGTCGGCCCAGATCTCCAGCGGCAGTATGTACCCCAGGGAGCTGAAGGTGCAGTCCATCCTCCCCAGCGGCAGTGTGCACCCCAGGGAGCTGAAGGTGCAGTCCTTCCTCCCCAGCGGCAGTGTGTACCCCAGGGAGCTGAAGGTGCCGTCCTTCCGCCCCAGCGGCACAGTGTCCTGCAGGGAGCAGAGACCGTCAGTCTCGCACCCCAACCACAGGACAAAATAATGAAAGGGGAGACAGCTGGTCCCCCTCTCCACCAGCAGAGAGAGTGTCAGGGAGAGGAGCCTGATACCCCCTCTCCCCAGCGGCAGTTTTCAGTTCAGAGAGAGGAGCTTGTTACACCCTCTCTCCAGCGGCAGCCTAACCCAGCAAGGGAGATGTTACACCCCAACAGTGCAGATGGGACTGTAGTCTGCACTTACAGCACAAGGGGTAGGGACAGTGGGTCCTGTTCCCCAGCCACAGAGCACCGTATGTATCAGAGGGAGACAGTGGGACCTCCCCCTCCCACAACCAGGCTCCAACCAGGCTACTTCAGTGGTAGCGCTGGCACCCGGGCAGAGTACCGCTGGTCTCTGCCCACTCAGCAACCCACCAAGGCAGCCTAACAGTTGCCCACACAGTCGTGGTGAGGCACCTGGACATGGACAAAGTTTTCCTCTACCCAGGTGTAGTAACCAGTTATTGTGGGTGGGCTGTACTGCTGTTTTTGTTTTGTGGGTGGGTTGCTGGACTAACCAGGGCACTGACCGGCAGGAGGTCAGATACCCTGTTAGTCTAGTTGGTAAAGGGGAGAAGTGTGGCGAAACCAACCTAGCCACTGTGAACTGGAGAAGCCTGGTTGCTCGCCTGCTCCCTTTGGACTATGGCCCTGCAGGTTAAACCGTTTATTTCCCCTGCAGAAAGGCTTATTTGTGTGATCTGAGTTCCATTCATCTAATAATGTGCACTCAGATCCCAGCTATCTGGGGATATGTGAAATGTCTGTGTGTTATGTGTGTAAATGTGACTTTATGTATTTTAAAGTGTTTTGTGTCTTTTGCAACCATGTGCTTAATGGAGTCTTGTGTCTATCCTGGGGAGATAATTGATTACTCTCTTGGGATAGAACTCTAAACACAGTTTCAGACCCGAAAGCCATGCTTCATTTAGTCTGAGACTTTCCCTTAACTTTTGAACCCCTGGTCTGATTCGTGCCATTTTAATATGTTGTTCCCCTGAATGGATTGATTGTGAATATGTAATTTTATGAGAATGTGATGTATGGTTTTAGAGTTATGAAAGTTGGGTAGAAAGTATGTTTTAACTGTATGTGTAATTGAGTTTCCTCTCAGGATAAGGGGAGGGAATATGTGGGATGTAACTGATATGTGATTGGTTGTTTTATACCTCCCTGTGGGCTGTACTATGTTTGTGATTTGGGAATAAAAGAGACTGTATGTGACAGTACAGGGAGTTCCTATTTTTACCCTCAACTTGAGTCCTGTCTCTTATTGGGGGAATCTGCTACAAGGGATTGCTATGCTAGGCATATTACCTTGTTATAATCACTGAGCTCTTGTAAGAGCTTGTTCCTGCTTCGTTCTGAAGGGAGATAGCTGCAGCCTGCGGTGCTTATGGTGTCTGGTGGAGTGCTTGGAGTCCTCTGGAAGCGCTAGGAGCATCTTTCAACGGAGGTACCCAGTCGGGGTGCCCGGTGATCCGTTACAGGTGACTAGTGACAGAGTGAGGGAGCATGTGACACAGTGACACAGTTAGGAGGGAGTGACTAGTGACAGAGGGATGGGGTGACTAGTGACAGTCACCCCTTCCCTCACTCTGTCACTAGTCACTCACTCTGTCACCTGTCACTCCCTCACTCTGTCACTAGAGTGAGGGGGTGACTAGTGACAGAGTGAGGGAAGGGGTGACTAGTGGCAGAGTGAGGGAAGGGTTGACTAGTGGCAGAGTGAGGGAAGGAAGGGGTGATTAGTGACAGAGAGAGGGATGGGGTGACTAGTGACAGTCACCCCCTCCCTCACTTTGTCACTAGTCACCCCCTTCCCTCTCTCTGTCACTCCCTCACTCTGTCACTAGTGTGAGGGGGTTACTAGTGACAGAGTGAGGGAAGGGGTGACTAGTGGCAGAGTGAGGGAAGGAAGGGGTGACTAGTGACAGAGTGAGGGAGGTGGTGACTGTTACTAGTCACCACCTCCCTCTGTCACTACTCCCTCCCTCCTTCTGTCACTACTCCCTCCCTTCTTCTGTCACTAGTCACCCCCTCCCTCACCCTGTCACCAGTCATCCCCTCCCTCACTCTGTCACCAGTCATCCCCTTCCCTCACTCTGTCACCCCCTCACTCTAGTGACAGAGTGAGGGAGGGGGTGACTAGTATTGAAGTGAGAGGTGACTAGTGACAGAGTGAGGAAGGGGTGACACAGTGACAGAGTGAGGAAGGGGTGACACAGTGACAGAGTGAGGAAGGGGGTGACACAGTGACAGAGTGAAGGAGGTGGTGACTGTCACTATTCACCCCATCCCTCCCTCTGTCACTAGTCACTCCCTCCCTCACTCTGTCACTAGTCACTCCCTCCCTCTCT